TAGATAGAACAGACGGTGCACATAGTGATAGCAGGAAGGCAGAGATGGAGCTGTCCTGTCCTAGTAACACAATAGATGGAGTTGATGTGTATATAAATACCACTACAGTATATTGCCAAAAGTATTATGGTGTGGGGTTGTTTTCCAGGGGTTGGACTTGGCCCTTAGTTCCAGTGAAGGGAACTCGTAAGGCATCCGCATACCAAGACATTTTGGACAATTTCATGCTCCCAGCTTTGTGGGAACAGTTTGGGGATGGCCCCTTCCTGTACTCGGCAACTCTGCTGACACCATTAACCCTTACAGTCCTACAGAGACAAATGGGAAATTGTACACAACATGGCAAGAAATGGACAATTGTGACAACAGGAATGCAACAAATGGGCAATTGTGACAATACATGGGCAATCATGATTATACATAGATAATGAATGGGTAGCTATGGCAATACATGGGCAACTAATGGGCATTTGTGACAATACATGGGCAATCATGAGAATACTACCAAATACAAATAATATATATCACACACATAGTGTTACATTGTATTACCTGGGCTCAGTGTGTACAGACATATATATCACACACATAGTGTTACATTGTATTACCTGGGCTCAGTGTGTACAGACATATATATCACACACATAGTGTTACATTGTATTACCTGGGCTCAGTGTGTTGTCCTCCTTTAGTCCTCATGATTGCTTTGCTTTCAGCTGCTTCTTCTGTGTTGTTCTGGTAACCTGCGCCTATCATTGGCGAAGGCGGTCAAGTTTGCACCAATAGGACGGCAGCATTTTTCCAGCCCTTAAAACAGAGCACTCTGATAGGCTATGAAGTAGTCCAGCTGCAAAACAACATGCAGTCCCCTCCCTGAAGCATTGTCCCATTAACCCCAACCGAGGAATGTTACTCTCTGCACTGGAGTATTCAGCAACTCTGCTGACACCATTAACCCTTTACAGTCCTACAGAGACAGTGTGAGCCCCTGGATCATGTCCCCCCCCCCCCCCCCCCCCCCACCCCGCACCAGGCACTGTGCCTTGTGAGCCC